ACTTTGCTGAAGTGGTAAAGATTTTGGCTTACTTGAAGTATTATTTGAATGAATAATTTTTATTAATATGGAGAAGATGGATTGTTTATATCTAAAAGAAGCATAGAGTGGTGGAATATAATTTAAGTTTTTAGTAAATTTGCTTTTTTTTTTATATATATATTTTACCTACTCATGTAGAATAATATACTTTGTGGAGTTAGAGATATTAATATTTGTTTACTTATATTTGAATATTATCCTGGGATTAGGTTTGGGAAGTCCGGGGGGGTGGGGGGTGGGTTTTCTTACAGTATTGTGTAATATTTGTGATGTTTTTTTCTATGATGAAAAATAATAAAATTTTATATTGGGAAAAAATAAATAAATAAATAAATATAAAAAAAAGACACAACTCTCTGCTGTACCTTGCTTTGCAGAAAGGATCCCAGTCAGGGCGCTGCTGTTTGATTTGCTGTGGCCCTTTGAATTTTTCCTTCTTTCTAGAGCGTTCTAAAGAAAAGAGTGAAGGCCCAAGGAAAAATATGTATTAAAAAGGAAAATCTGATTCTTATTTTACTAATAAAGAAGAATATTTGTGGCTCAGGGTTGACAAGTGTGTGTGTGTCCTTGGTGCTCTCTGAGCTTGCTTGTTTTCTTGCAGACATTTTATAACCCAACTAGGTAACATTATCAGTGCTAGTAAAGAGTGGGGTTTGTGGAGATGAGGAGGAGGATTGTGGGGACCTTGGTGCTCTCTGAGCTTGCTTGTTTTCTTGCACACGTTTCATGACTCAACTAGATAACATCATCAGTGGTAGAAGAGAGTGGGGTTTGTAGGGAGGAGGAGGAGGAGGAGGGACAGGAGGAAGAGGAGGAGGAGGAGGATTGTGGGGACCTTGGTGCTCTCTGAGCTTGCTTGTTTTCTTGCAGACATTTTATAACCCAACTAGGTAACATTATCAGTGTTAGAAGGGAGGGGGGTTTATAGGGAGGAGGAGGGGGTCAGGAGGAGGAGGAGGAGGATTGTGGGGACCTTGGTGGTTTCTGAGCTTGCTCATTTTCTTGCACACATTTCATGACCCAAACTAGGTAAAAATAATAATAATAATAATAATTAAGCAGTCCACTTTTGGTCTTGCAGTTTGTTCAACTGAATATAAACCACAATTTACAAGCATCAATCTACATACCATGGTGCTCCACCGGTAATACATGTAAACTTGGAGAATGTGGAATAATTGTTTTATCGCACAATAATGGGGGCGTATGTGGACGTAAAATCCAGAAGAAACAATTGAACACAACAAAGCAAGGAGACGGGCACCAATTTACTATATATTAAACCAAGGATACAATGAACACTTGTGCATGTATTAATTTAAATGGTGTCTAGCAGAAAACCATGCACTGTGATTTGAGTGCTAATATTTTTTTTTAAAAAAAAATGTATCATGCTATATATCACACTGAAAGTTTCATTACTCTTATTTAATGAAACAAAAGTTATTGTGAAGAGCCAAAGAATGAATCAATTATGCCTCAGTGACATTTTTTTTTCTTTGATAAAAGTTATTTTGGTTTGTTTTTTACCGGGCGGAGAGGTGCTCTGTCAGAGAGACCCTAAAGGGTCTGGGGATGGACTAGAGGACCTCTAGGATCATTTCCCTGACTGGAATTCTACGATTCTGGAAGTTTAGGAGAGGAACGTTAAATTAAATACAGCAATTCCTTGTGCAAGAAATACAATTTCACAGAGAATAAAGAGAACTGAAGCTCATATTTCGATAAGCAGACAACACAGAATGAATTATGCAAGGGAATAAATAGAATAAATATTTAAATAGAATAAATAGAATAAATATAAACAAAAAATATTACATTTAAAAGCTGCCTAAAACTTCAGTTTAAAAAACAACAACTAAATTACCTAATTGCACTTAAAAACTATGGAGAAATATTAGCAGGGTGTTTTTTCTTTCGTGAAAGAAATAAATATTTCAAAGACGAACAAAGTTAAAAACCCACATTAATTAGCCTTGTAACAAATTTAAAACATTACACGGCCAAAAATTGACCATACAATTCTCCCCTTACAGTTCACAGTATAATTTACCTTGTATTTCACAATGTTTGATTTCAGAATATGAACCTCTTCTTGAACTTGTTTTAATCGCTCATGAAGATATCTGAAATTTGGGGATGAAAATGGTGATATATTACTCAGCTGCCATTTACTAAGTATTTCAAAATGAGCTACGAGCTTCATGGGTGAAAAGGAACAAATGAGAAATAACGAGTCAAGCAGAGACAAAAACCCTACAATTTACATTCAATTGTCAATTGTGTGTCCCACTCACTCACGCACACCTACATACCACTGGTGTAAGGAATATTTATTAAGGCTTCGGAGCCTGAATTGGTTTTCCCCAGCAATTCCCTGTCCCAGCACTAACTTCTTTCTTTCTTTCTTTCTTTCTTTCTTTCTTTCTTTCTTTCTTCTTTTTTTCCTTCCTTCCTTCCTTCCTTCCTTCCTTCCTTCCTTCCTTCCTTCCTTCCTTCCCTTCCCTCCTTCTTCTTCTTCTTCTTCTTCTTCTTCTTCTTCTTCTTCTTCTTCTTCTTCTTCTTCTTCTTCTTCTTCTTCTTCTTCTTCTTCTTCTTCTTCTTCTTCTTCTTCTTCTTCTTCTTCTTCTTCTTCTTCTTCTTCTTCTTCTTCTTCCTTCTTCCTTCTTCTCCTCCTCCTCCTCGTAATAAAAAGTGGATTTGAGGTTTAGGCCCAAAACTTTGTTCAGCCACATTAATCCCTTTATACCAAGCTAAGGGAGCGATATGGCTCAGTGGTTAAAGACCCTGAGCTTGTCAGCTGGAAAGATGACAGCCCAGGTTTGAGATCTGAGCGCTATGTGACGGAGTGAGCTCCCGTCCTGGCCTCAGCTCCTGCCAATCTAGCAGTTTGAAAGCATTCAAATGCGAGTAGATCAATAGGCACCACTTCGATGGGAAGGTAACAGCACTCCATGTGCTTTGGCGTGTAATCATGACAAACACATGACGACGGAAGTGTCTTCGGACAACGCCGGTTCTCTTAGTCAAGAAACGGAGATAAGCACTATCCCCCTAAAACTGGACATGACTAAACAGGGGTAAATCTTTACCTGACTACGTTAACAGGTCAATGCAATTTTTCCTCTCTTCATTTTGATTTTTGATTTTACCATCACTTTCCTATTTTTTTCTCTAGGTTGTTTTTGCTGCGTTAGCACAGCCTACAATATTTGCAGCAAAGAGGGACCCTAGGATGAACACTCTTAGTGTAGACGCCGTTCTGAAGGGACGTTACGTCCCGTCCTCATAAATCACGATGGATTCCTAAGCAAACTCACCTGTTTTCCATACAGAGAGCATCTATGTCGATAATACGGTCAACGTGGCCCCCGAGAACATAGTTCAGCTCCTGGTTTAGCTTGTCGGACTTCTCTTGGTAAAAATAACGTTCTTCCTTCACATCCTGGAGCTCGTCCAACGTCGCTTGAAGATCAAGCTGGAGAGTCTCAATCTGGCAAGAGAGCCAAGCTCAAAAGAGTTACTGAAGATAAGGAGAACTTCCAAACGTTTCTCCAGGCCAAACTCAGTCCTCTAATTTTTGCCAAGACTCCTCCTATCTCCCATGTCTATTTTCAGCAACAAATGTCTATGGGAGGGGTCTTCAAACTTGGCCCTTTTATGACTTGTGGACTTCAACTCCCAGAATTCCTCAGCCAGGCACACGTGCCTGGCTGAGGAATTCTAGGAGTTGAAGTCCACAAGTCATAAAAGGGCCAAGTTTGAAGACCCCTGGTCTATGGAGATTCTCCATCATCCAGGTCATGGTTGTCCCAAAGGAGCTTTTTCATGAGGCAACTGGACTTCCTTTTTCTTTGAAGACCTTTCACTTCTCATCCCAGAAGCTTCTTCAGCTCTGATGGTGGGGAATGGAAGGATTTATATTCCTTGCAGACAGCTGGTCATTTGCAGACAAATCCTTTTTATTTATACAAGTCCAGCTGCCTCATGAAAAAGCATCCTTGGGACCAACCTGTTGCATTTTGGGCGATGGAAACAGACTCTTGGGCCTGATGGATATCCTGGTCTGATCAAATCAAGCCTCTTTTCAATGACTTGCCCTACCAAGACCTGAAATCGAGGATGGAAGAGGTCAGAATCTACGTTCACAGAAGCGGCCGTTTTGTTCAATTACTTGTTCCCGTGCTTTCTCCAGCTGCTGGACGAGATCTTCGCGCTCATGGGGGGCGAAATGACGGGCCCCAACTTCTTCATCTCCAAGTCTTTGCTTGGCAATCGTCATCCGAAGAAGCTGGAAGAAAAAACAAAAAACAAAAATCCAGAATTGCAATTCACAGGCAAATAATAAATCTACCTAGGCATGATCTTTAAGCTATATTGCAAAGATATTTGCTCCCTTATCCGTTAAGAAGATAACAATTAACCAATGGAGACTTCCGGTTTGCCGACGCCATGGACGCTTGGAAGACGAGCTCCGTCTTCCTCGTCCAGTTTCGCATTGCTGGGGGGCCTAAAAGGGTCGAAAAGTCGCCCCGTAAAGGTGACCAGCAAGGAGGGGCTTTCGCTGGAGCCCACGTTCCCTCCGAACCGGTGGACGAAACACTGGCCATAGCAATATGGCTGCTCACTAGGCTGCAGACAGCCGAAATCACACTTACCATCAAACAACTAACCAGTGGAACAGAAGTTGCCTCCAGAAGTTGTGAGTGCTCCAACACTGGAGGTTTTTAAGAAGAGATCGGACAGCCATTTGTCGGAAATGGGAAAGGGTTTCCTGCCTGAGCAGGGGGTTGGACTAGAAGACCTCCAAGGCCCCTTCCGACTCTGTTATTCTATTCTGTTACAAAGATTGCTGCAAAAGGTAGGTTTAATCCTGACTCAAAAAAGGTCAACTCAGTCAAACCAGAATTCTGGCTTCCATTCCCAGAATATTTCTTCAATCAAGATGCAATACGTGCAGTCTTACAGCAATTCATTGGGTGGAGGGCTAGACTAGATGACCTACGAGGTCCCTTCCAACTCTGTTATTCTGTTATTTAATGATGGTTTGGCTCTGAAAAATAGGACTTATGAGCAGGTTTTCATACTGATGACCCTCGCAGCCTCCCCATGGCCACGTGACCAAAATTCAGAGGCTCGGCAACTGGCATGTACTTAGGACGGTTGCAGTGTCCCCTGGGGTCACGTGATCCCCTTTTGCGACCTTCCGACGAGGAATGTCAAGGGGGAGAAGCTGGAGTCACTTAACAACCGGGTGTCTAATTTAACACCTGCAGGGATTCCCTTAACAACTGTGGCAAGAAAGGTCGTAAAACAGAGCAAAGCTCTCTTAACAAATGTCTCACTTAGCAACGGAAATGTTAGCCTCCATTGTGGCTGTAATGCGAGGACTACCTGTATTTACGTAAAGGCTCACTGCGGACAATGGGTTTGCTTAACGACTTCGTGACTGCTGCATTTGCTTTATGACCACCGCCGTTGTTTAACTACTGCCACCAAAAAAGTGTTGAAAAATCAGGAGAGATGCATGAATGCCTCGACTTACAACCATTGCAACATAAGATGGAGATTCCAGACTGTATCATGGTTATAAGACAAGGGCTACTGGCGTAATTATGTTTAATTCCTGCCCTACCTTGTTGTCTCCCTGCACTTCGCCCAGCCTTTGCTGCAGTTCTTTGATTTCTTCCCCTAAGTGTTTATTTCGATCCCGAGAATCACTCAGAAGCTGGGTGAGATTCGCCTGGGGAAAAAACACAAGAAGCGGTCACAAGAGGAAGCTGAAGAGGCAGCGGAGGGGGAAAAAACCCGTTTTGCTTTTGATGCTTTTCTACAACTAAAATTAGTGCAAGGGTAAAATAAATCAAGCCAGGTACGCATATATATAGCTTGCAGGTAATAGATAAATAGCAACAGAGGGCAACCCAAAATATGCATAAATACCCAGGGGAGCAAATCCTACCATGCTTTTATTTCTATTTTATATCTTATTTTATTTTATTATTTTGTTTATTTCATTATTTTAGTTTTATATTTATTATATTACTTTATTTCATTTTATTATTTTATTTTATTTTTTATATTTTATTTTATTGTATTTTATTATATTATATTATATTATTTATTATTTTATTACTTTTATATTTTATTTTATTATATTATATTTATTTTATTACTTTTATATTTTATTTTATTATTATATTATATTATATTATATTATTTTATTACTTTTATATTTTATTTTATTTTATTACTTTTTTATTTTATTTTATTTTTTTATTTTATATTTTATTTTATTTTATATTTTATTATTTTATTTTATACTAGCTGTACCCGGCCACGCGTTGCTGTGGCTCAGTCTGGTAAAAGCGTGTGTTGCTTTTACGTCCAACAGATGGCGCTGTTTTTCAAAAAAAGCATGTTTTTACCTGTCACAAGTGTGACATCTATATAATATAGGTATATAAAAACACACGCGTATTCGAATGCAACGTTGTGTCAAAATTTCAAAGCAATCGGTGAAGAACTTTCGGAGATTTAAGATTTTGAACAAACAAACATTTACATTTTTATTTATATAGATTTTATTTTATTATTTTATTTTATTTTACTTTATTATTTTATTATTTTATTTTATTTTATTTTATTTATCTGGATGCAATGTTGTACTTGAAACAATTCAACCTGGATTTATGACCTGGAACTGTTAGTTACATTAGTCTGAAATAAAACCTACCTGTTTTCTTTTCTCTGGAGGAAGAGAGGGATCGCCATCCTAAAAAGAAAGGACCAGTCCTTTAGTAAAGTATTGTGTCACCAAAAAATAGGCATATAAAATGATGATGATGATAACCTTTATTGTCATTTTTTTACTGTGGGCACAATGGCACACATTAAAAATGATTGATGGATAGATAGATAGATAGATAAATAGGATAGGGATGATAGATAGATGATAGATAGATAGATAGATAGATAGATAGATAGATAGATAGATAGATAGATAGATAGATAGATAGATAGATAGATAGATGATAGATAGATAGATAGATAGATAGATAGATAGATAGATAGATAGATAGATAGATAGATAGATAGGATAGGGATGATAGATAGAATAGCGATGATAGATAGACAGACAGACAGACAGACAGACAGACAGAGACAGATAGAATAGTGATGATAAGATAGATAGATAGACAGACAGACAGACAGACAGACAGACAGACAGACAGACAGACAGACACAGATAGAATAGTGATGATAAGATAGATAGATAGATAGATAGATAGATAGATAGATAGATAGATAGATAGATAGATAGAATAGTGATGATAAGATAGATAGATAGATAGATAGATAGATAGATAGATAGATAGATAGACAGACAGACAAGACAGACAGACAGACAGACAGACAGACAGATAAACCTTTATTGTCAATTTTTACTGTGGGCACATTGGCACACATTAAAAATGAAATTTAGTTGCTAGCTCTCAAAGCTTACACACATTTAAACATACGCGGGCGGTGTTGGGAGGGACTCGTCGCTCCCATGTAACACCGCTGTTGCGCGAGCTGCATTGGCTGCC